TCCTTTTCTTAACTTCACGTCGGCGTATCGCCCTCAGTAAACCTTTGTATTCATGAGAAAAGGCAGACCGAAATTAAGAAAAGACACCGACGTTTCTAGTTGGAAGCTACACAAATCTAAATATTATGCTGAAACTTTCCTCGAAAACAATCTACCATTGTTCATCGACTTTTCAATGAATCTCTCCTCTTAGCCGATGCTTAGTCTGGAACTAAAGTAAATTGTCCTTAGAAAACAAATTTTAACTAAAACTATTTTTCTCAAGTATTATATAAAATAGCTATACTATTTCGAGCAAGATGTATAATGTTTTGCTGTGAACCCTTTCAACAGAAATAAATCAATTTTATTACCCATATAATCAATCAAAGTGCCGCCTATTTGATTAGCCACCCTTGCTCAGTGAAGAACCTGCACATCTACGAGGTGGTCTTAGGTCTATCGTCTGAGGATTAACAAAAGAAGACGATACACAGACAGTGTACACAAAACGAGCATGTTGCCTGACTGTTATATTCGAAGTAAGTATAATCTTCACAGCAGCGGTGAATGTAGGTATAGAGATAAAACACTCGGTATTGTCTTTTCACCTATACACGGTAGCTTTAAATCGATTTCAATGGTTTGGAAACAACGAACTGTTAGCCGGTAACGGATAGAAACGGACAATGCACGTCTTGCCGCAACGTCGAAGATCAGAAAAGCGACCCTGTGACTTGGGACAGAACAGTCTTACTCTAGCGTAGAGAAACAGTTTACCTAGCGCTTGAACGGCCGAAGCAGATAATGGTTTTGTTGTTCCACGGATCGATCGATCGAGCCCGTCTTCAGGCCTCTCGCGTGTCCCTTCGTCTTTCGTTGTGGGAGCCCGTAATCCACGTCGACGGGTACGATAAGTCACCTGAAAGACACCCGCAGCCCCGGTTGCCATTCGATTCAGAAACTTCTGCGATACTCTTACCATAATTCCTCAGGTAAACTGCAGGAAGTTGTCATTTAAAGTGATAGCGATACTTCAATGTCTCAATAAGCCTGCCATTACTTTGTTCAAGATTTACGAAAGAAATAAACGACCATCATAAATACATTGTCCTTGATTGGGAGTCGAATAAATCATCTGACTTTTTTGTAAATTCAAAATTCATTTTAATATCCCTCAATCTATCAGAATAAAAAAAGAAATAAGTCAATAGTTTTGCGTACTCGAAAATAAAGTTCAAGAAAAGTTAATTTCAAGAATCGTTTGTTCCTACGCGATTATCATTATCGTGCAACAATTGTGTTGTTTTTTTTTTTCGAAAGGTGAAGCATAAACCTTCTGAAAGCTGCAAAGGTACGTCTAGTTGCAAGAGACATTGCGTTACTCTCGTGTAGCCGACGTAATTCGCAAATTAACCTCGCTCTAGGAGAGTTCTACGTTGTTCGTGACGTAATTCACGAGATGTAACTCTCACGGGTCGTTGCTTAAAAGCGCTCGGCTCCGAAGTAAATTTTTATGTACCACTGGGTATCGTCGAATTTACCGGAGGATATAAGAAATTTAATTGCAACAAAACGAAGAGTAAGTTACGAATTCTCGCCTTCCCTCGAGAAGATTAAACAAACGTATCCTTTTTCTGGAATAATTTTAATTGGATGTTTAGAAACGATGCCGTAGGAAAAGTAAGAAATAAAAATAAGATAAATGAAATTTGATTAAGTATGCTTCTCAAGTATGGAACACTCGAGGTGGTAAAACGACACGTATAATCGTGTTTTAATCCTCGAAACATAGGTTGATCACGAGGCGCCAGACCTCTTATCATTAACAAAAACCAGACTACCCGAACGTTTCTCGGGTTTCATAGAAGGCCGATTTCAGGAGGGGTCGGATCCGACCACTTGTCATTCCTCGTGTACGCACCCGGCCGTATCTGTTCTTCGGCGAAGACCAAACATGAATATTGAGTGTCTTGAATCGTGGTTGAACAAACTTCTGTACGTGAAACAGGGCAACATCGAGTATAACTCCCCTAACCAGTCACATCGAGCCAGCAACGTTTAGCTCTAACGGTTTAGTTCCAAAGTGGCGATTTCATACGCGCTATATCCTCGATATGAGCAGTTTCCTAGAGCTTGCTGGCTCGAACTACAAACCCTCCACACGAAGTGAGATAGACATTGCATAAGGGGTTGGATATCCTTTGGGTAGGTTCAGTTTGGCTCCCAAGGAGAAGTAGAAGAAAGAGAAAACTCGATGCAAGATAAAGGAAGATCTTCTAGTGTTTGACGAAGAAGTCTCATTGAAATACGAACTTGTGCTACGTTGCTGGAATGTTTAAGTATTTCTATTTAACCCTTGCCCAGCCAAGTACCAAGTCAATTTCAAACCCTCCCAATAAAGTTTCATTTAATTCGAAAATTGTGTAACGTAAAGTTGATACGAATTTTTGCATATTTGTACAATTTCGATTCTTCGGTTTGTTAATTTATACCACGTGATTTATTATACATTTTCTGGCGCTATGAAAATGTGAAGGTATAGCAGTATATTTTCATAAAACATTTAGATAAGGTAAATATTGATAATGCCTGTGGTAATACTATGAAGCACAGATGTTACACAATCGATTATTCATAAATCGTAACTAAAATATCGACGACCATAAAATTGTCTTTATATCGTTAAAACATCTATAATCCTGATAAATTGACGAAAGTACTGCGGTAACTTTAAGTCCCTCTACATTTGGTCCAATGATAAGCGCTGATTCGAGATTAAATAATTTTGAATATTTTTATCAACCGTTTGTATAAATAAATAATTCTCTGCTTGAATATAAAAAATTGTATAACGTTTATAAATACAACAGAAAATTTTTCATTTTGATTAAATTTATGAAAAATCGAGGATGCAGGGGAAAAATGGTTTTCGCACTGGTATTCAGCACACGAAATACCTATTGTACCTTGCAAAACAAAACACGTGTTGTACAATGTTATCAATTTGTATATTTTATTAAATTAAAGTTGTTATTCGAGGAATAAACGAAACGTGTGAACGATACACACACATCGTTCCCCTGCAATATTCGTATTTTTCTTTTTTTGTATTTTTAAACCGAAGAAAGTGAGTTTTCTTGCAGGTTCATGCAACCAACAGTTTCCACGGCGTATAAATTCCGTGTTGCTTGAATAAACGATGCCATAACCGTGAACATATCACGAACACACGAGAATTCAGCGCAGGTGTCGTGCGGACTTCAGAGGACAGGTAGACTGACACGGATGTAAGAAACGTTTCCAGCTGGCAAACTAACTCGAGATCTCGTGGCTAGAACCTCTCATCACAATTTCTCATCACGTTCTGGTAAGTGAACGTACTAGTTTTGAACACGAACGATAAGAACAATAGAGCTTTATCGAGTCATTTCAACTTCTTCGTGATTCAATTCGACAAGCGTGGAAGCAGTCGTTATTCTAATTAATATTTGGGGAGCTTCTGATAGTCGGTGGATTAATTAATTTTGTCAGTAATTATAATCAGTGGGTAAGTTTTACAATTTGAAAATTTGTAAAAAAATTAGAAAGTTTAATAAGAAAAATTAATAAGTTAAATTAGAAAAATTAGAAAATTTTAAATTTCTATATTTTCTTCACTGATCGCTAATTAAGGACCTATCGAGTTCGTGTGTAGGTATGCATATGTTTTCACGCTTCGATCCCGACAGCGTATATTTAAATTGATAGAAATCGCTTGGGGAAGTTAACGCTTGCACGAAGAACGACACAAAAATTACCGTGTCGCACTTAGCCACTCACTCTTCGTCAACGTCACCATTGACTGCACTGACTGATTGTCGTACCTGCACTACGTCAGATGCGAACGTGTGTGGCAATAATTCATTAACAAAGACCAACGATTAACATACTACACACTCGATATTAGTTTTCTAGGAAGAGACATTTAGAATTCCTCTCATAATTTGAAGACAAAATAATAGACGAAAGCTACTTAAATTCCTCCATATTTTGTTTACCATATTGAATGGTGAATTTTGAAACATAAACAAATCCGAAGAAACGGTTAGAATTGCGTGTAATATCTATTTATAATCGTAAACAAGATGGAATGTTTCTCAAAGACGCGTTTCATAACAAGGCAACGAAAATTTGTAGAACGAACGTAACCCTAATTTCGAAGGAATTTTCGTTGCTCATCCCTACAGGTTTACTCTACAGTTAAAAATAATTTACGAGCTCCACGGTCGATTAACGATTGTTGTTTCAGAGTTGCGGAAGCGTGTTCACAGATCACACCGTGTCGGGCCGAGTCACACGACACGGTAACCGAACGAAATTTCCGTGAATTCATCCATTTTAACTTGTTTTTCTGTACACCCACGCGGGCGAGGGTAAAACGAAACGAGCGTTTAATTATTTTCCGTAGCCGTGTCAATTCGCGCCAGTTAGAGTGACAATCGGCAGTCGAAAAACTGCAACGGCTTTCTTGTTAATCGCACTACATTGGTTGCAACCGGTGGGGAAAAGTGTTTTACATGTCGACAAGTTTGGAAAATTTTCACCGTTTAGCTGTACCGTTTAGTTGAATTTTTCTAACGTTACTATTTATGGCGTGCAAAATTGACGAGCGTAATAGAATGCAAACACTCGACGTGAAATGGCATTATGAATTTTTAACAGTCATCAACAAGAAAAATATTTGCAAATACGTTCTTTATCGTCCATCTACATGCAGGGACGTTATCGTGAACACGCAATTGAAAGATAAAATAGTACTATTAGTCGTGTATATCGTACGTTGCACGCTCTATATATTTGATTACGTATCACCGAAAGAAGCTAAGCATTAAAACAAAAGAATAAATAAATAAATGTTCAAGAAACTAAGTAGAATATCCACACGGTGAAAATTCATTTTAATTTAATATAAATTAATTGAAAATAATATTGAAATGATAATAAAATGATATGTACAACTGCAGGCATGGTAGACTCACCCAGGGAAGATGGCGATGTTATGGTTTCTCCCTCCATAGGCTTCACAGGTCTCCTACCACTCTCCGCGACGGTCGCGTGGAAACTGACGATGTAGAGGTGAAGGCCCCATGCATATAGATCCCCCCACTACCCGCACTCAAGCATCTATGCGGGAAAATTTGAATTCATATTAATACTATTATTTATAATTTCTTAATTACGTAATAAATTTTATGAAATTTGGTATTTAGAAATTATATTACTACGTTTCTAAAACACTTTTAATATAACCATTTTCCTCAGAAAAGCCTACTTTGCTCGATACTGTGCATACATGAATAGAAGGCTGAACAATTAATTTTAAATACTCGACGATAAATCAAGAAAAAAACCTAAGTGACGGTATTATTACTGAAAGGACCTTCCACTTGTGTGACACGCACACCCATGAACATACAAGTTCCTATTTATTGCAAATTCACCATGACGGCAGCCCTGACATGCTCCGCTGCGTAAATCCACGAGACGTTTACGAGCCGTGGAAGTGTTCGTGATCGTATTCAACACGCAGAGCTACGTTTGGATGTCTCATTAGCGAGGCACCCTTCGAAAAACAAGCGATTGCCTGTGTCTCTACGAGATATTTCCAGCCGCGTTAACGTCTGGTAAAATGAAAAGAAGCATCGGTAGTTGTACCCTTTGGTTGTTCTTTAATTCAACGAGAAACGGTGTGAAATATTCACACGACTGTACAGTCGTAGGAAAAGTTTCTTCATCTGCTATATTTAACATAAAATTTTTAAATTTTTCAATAAAAACTTAGGAATTTCTCATAATAATTTGAAATTGTTCGCAGAGGAAAGTAAGAAAGAAAGAGAAAATGAAATGAAACGTGGGTAATAAAGTATACACCTTTTCGTATTTTCCTTTCCACTCGAGTCGAGTGGCAGACCGAAGAAGCGGCGTGAAAGCGGTTATCGAATATTTAAATTCAATCATCGAGTAACGCGGCGTAGCGAGCAAATTCCTTGAATCGTTTGCAGAATCGAACGGTTGCAGTGGTCCTATTAGCCGGCGAGGAGGGGTGGTATTCGTTCAAAATCCACTCAAGGAAAATGCAGAATTACATTTTCCTCGGTCGGATTGAGAAACGATCTTGAACGGTACCAGGTAGGAATCTAGTTTGTAGAGTATACGTATACGTAGCAGTTGGCAAGCAACGAAACATCCACGTGGCCATTACTCGGTGGCAATCGTAACTCACGCGCGGCGTCCAGAAAGCCAGCTGTTATACGTATACAACGCTGCGTCCCGACTGCATCAGCGCTTGAAATTGGAAACCATATCGCGGGATATACAGATTATTATGCCATTAGGGTATAATGGGAGGAGCATTCGAGTCCACCGGGGAAACGAGCAAGTAGATTTCGTAGCCGAGAGTCTCCTCGAGTGTGCGGCAATTAAACCAGTCGCCGCACGGGGACGATGACATGAGGGAGGAAATTATTTTCCCCGGAGTAGAAACGTCGACCGGGATACCGCCGGACGGCCACAAAAAGCCAAAGTAATTAATGGAGCAAAATGGATTGAAGGAGTACCGCTCGAATGATCCGTCGCAAGAAGACGAAACCGCGGAATATTAATGCATCCTGATCATTAGTTAAATGCAGTTTGATGCACCCCGCTGCAAGCGTCAAACTTCTGAACAACGATATCGAGGGTAAAGACCGGAATTCGGCATTGATAGATTCCAGATATATGGAAATGAATTGCAAAATTTTATTTTTAAATAAATTGCAGAATTCAGTTTTTACATTTAGTTAACTTTGATCCCATCATTCTATAGCGTACAATTGTCAAATCGAAATCTATTAGTAATTTCCTATTAGGTATAACAGCGAACAGGAGGCTATCAAAGCGTTAAGCTTTAAATTGATATGCCATAAGTGCCATTTTACGACATATCTGTATCGTCAAATCGCGTCAAACTTTCTCTATTTCGAAATCGTCCATTTGATACGATGCCAACAAAATGGTCGATAACATATTGTTTCAACATGTGCCACGATCTTTTCATCCTTCGCATCCTTTGTTGCGCGACTTAACATTCATTTGCATGATTTTTTATGTCCAGGCTATTCGCACTTCGAATGGACCGGGTACGAAAGTCGACATAAGAGTCTCATGGTGGGCCTTTTACTTCCTTCCTCTCGGTTTTTTTGTTTAAATAAACAGTACGAACGTGGTCTACCTTTCGTCCACCCAGCGGCTTTCTTTATCCCGTCGTCCTTTCAGTCCAACCACAGTGAATAATGGTTGCTTTACCCATGGAGAGGAAGCTTCACGCTGGGTGGACTTGAACTCTTTTTTTTTTTTTTTTTTTTTTTTATTCTGAGAACGCCAACTGCAGCCAACTGCGATATTGTTTTTAAGAGCAGCTGAGAGTATTCCAGTCCGGTACGAGGGCCAGCGGGATATGGTTACGGCACGAATCGTTCCTAACCGTGTTCACGCGAAATTTAAATTGGTACGTGTAATAATGGTTAATTAAAATTTAATTAGAAATTTATTAGAGATGATACAGGGCACTGAGTACTAGGAAATTTATTCAACCCGTTCTTCACCGACTTACTCTGATAATAATCTACAAATTGTTTCAGTATAATTAGGAATTTTGGTGTAATTTTCTAAAAATCATTAATATAATGATGTGTTTTACGCTGTTGCTGTAATAAATGAGCTTAAACGGTTGATGTGAGAAAATATTTAAAACATATATATTATGATAACCGGATTAAATCATTATACGTGTAATAGTACATTGAAATGATAAATTTATGATGAGATGTTACATTAAGATACATTGTTCATTTAAAACTGGTTACAAAGTTTTGTAACTCGTTCAACCGGTTCTACATCAATATTAATGAAGGCACTTGTACCTTATCCATATGATTTAGCTATTTAAGAATTCATGGATTAATTAAGAATGATTAAGTATACTCTTATACTTTCCTCTCTATAATTTAGAGATTGAAGAAATATTTACGTTGGTATTTGCGTTTCTTAAGACGACACGAAGTTATCAGAATATTTTAACATTATAATTGAATACAGTTTCTTTGTAATTTATCAAGTGCTGCCTGTATTAACAGACATTTAATTTGTACATACTTATAGTGGTAATTAATTATACGAGTATCATGTCTTTAGAAATTAAAATAATTAATAATTCCGTTTATACATTTACAGAAAATAAAATGGTGAAATATATTAAAACACTTAATTTTAATTTAATTTTGCATTTCATATTATTCTCTTTTCCGAAATTTTACACTGACCCTCTAAAAATTATTCTTCCAACATTTATTGATTTTTCATTAATTTTAATTAAAAATATTACTTAAAAATAATATTGCAATATCATTCGATTTTATTCGCCCAAATAAATAGACCACGTAAGATAGTTTAGATAGCGAATCCATCTCGCATTATAAGACGTGTCAAACTGACCCGACAGGTTAAAGATTTCGCAGGTAGGCAGTTATAGAAGCTGACGAACGGTATAAATACCTGACTGCCAAACTAATCGTTTGCCCGATATATCAGCTGTTTCGTCTGCCGGCAAGACACGTCGAACCACACACGGCCGCGCTTGTTATAATCCTTTTAACCGGGCGTCACGAACAGATGGGTGCCTCTTTTATATTCATCTTTTTCGGTTCTCCTTATCGTTATTACGAGCCCTTCGCAACTGCCGTCCGAGAATTGGAGCGGCTGAAATACCTTAGCGACACGATGATTAGACGGTAAGGGAAAAATGAAAACGAACGAGAAACGCCTGATAATTAGAAAACTCATACGCTTGATGATCAAAGAGTCACGCTCTTGAAGTTGTATTTTAAGCAAATGTTGCCGGAAATTGATTAACGTTAACGTGAGCAACACGGAACACTCAAAAGGGTGTGATTAGTGTTGAAGTTTAAACTTTTATTCAGGGTAATGAGCGACCAAGTTAAGAAAGTAAAGTACCGTGTCAAAGGTTTGACAAAAATTATGACGAAGTTTGTTTATCATCCATTTTCCGATTTTGTATCATTTTTAGAAGACGTTCTTTAAAAATTTATCAAGGTATTCTAGGTGATTTTAATATTTAACATTTCACTTGGGGATGAAGAGTTCACTCGTTATAATGCACTTTTGTGCAAGAAATAACTTTTTTCGTTTAAATGTATAATTACTCTCAAAGACCAGATTTCCAATATAAACTCGGATAATTTGATTTTCTCTTAATTCAATAAATGCAATTAATTGAATACTTTATTGCAAAAAATACGACGAATCGATCGAAGCTCATAGCAGGTCGGCAAATAACGTTCGAGATATTTTTACAAAACATCGAATTGTGAAATCTAATCGTAATCAGGAGAGAAAAATCCGTATAACAGGTACGAGCGAACGTTTCACTGAACATTTCGGTCGGTCAGTTTCTCGCGGGAAAAAAAAAATCTGATACGCGTGTGTACGAGGTAGCACGGATCAGAGAATGTTGATCTTCAACGAGCTTGACCCAAATACGCAACCCGCAGGTTGGGCACATATTTCTTTCTATTTATTTTCATGGCTCCTGATGCTCGACCGATATCACGTTTCCCTCTGTCGTTCCCACCCTTCGCTCCCCTTTCTCGCATTTTCCCTTCGTTGCCTTTTATTTTTCCCTCTGTTCCACGCTTTGTTTTTTTTTTTTATTTTTATTTTTATTTTTTATTCCATGACCAAACACAGGTATGGAAAATATCCGCGATCATTTCTCCGCTGCTATCATCCGCGCGGTATTTTTTCCTTCTAGTAATCGCCAAGATATCGTATGCGGACTGGTTTTCGCAAGCAGTATGAATTTCGCACCCAGACCGATCCATACGTTGATTGTAATCGATATCGCTGAATACCGGTCACCTGGATACGATCCCCCGCCTACGTACGAGAATCCTAGAATACGCGCATACCTCCGTGATTGATATCCTCTTTGTCATCGATAACGTTATACATTAACGCGAAATTTTCTACGATTCGTTCGCTGAAACGGACCAACGGGGCTTCGAAATTCATTTGCCTTTGCTCAGATAACACGGACACCATTAGTGATATCACCATTAGTTTTAGTC